CCAATGTAATTGTGTGTATGTTTTTACTGTAGTCTACTCTCAGGACCTGGGGGTAGTGCCCCTTGCATGGGGCCTGTATATAAGGCCAGTTGTGGCTGCCATTAAACGTTATCCTGCTTACCCTCAACATCGAGTCTCATCTCATGTGTGGGGGAAACAGCTGTATCTACTCGGGGGATTGCAATATCACTATACTCCCCTGGGATTATAATGACTTGCTCTTGTAAGAGCATCCTGCTTACTCTCTGGACTAGTAGAGGTCTACCCACTGGAAGCTGGATCCTGGTCTTGGTTCTAGGGTGGGTGGAGGACAGCAAGACCCCAACCAAGCTGTAACGCTGGCTTTGGGATTTACGGTGGTTATGGTGTCTGGTGGAGTGCTTAGGAGTACTCGGTGTTGCTAGGAAGCAGCGATTGGCGGAGGCACCCAATCGAGGGTGCCTGGCGGTCTGCCACAGCACTGAAGTTCCAAAGCGCCGAAGTGATTCGGATTTCTGAAAAGTGGCAAAACAGGAGAGAGGGAGGGAAAATTACGTAATAATGACAGCACAGTGTGGGTGGGGGCAGTAACCGTCAGAGTAATCTTAACTTCCCGTAATACCCCCAGTGTGTGCATGTTCAGGTGAGTGCAGCCAACCCCCCCTTGTTTCGTTATTACCCTGACTGGTACTGTCCCAGCATGTGGCAGACTTATGCAATGTATGATCATATAATGTAACTAAACCTAGATTAGGTGTTTTTTAAAAAACAAATAAAATCTGTCAACATTGAAGTTGCTGTTTAGTGGATAGGTGAGTGTGCTGGATCTTGTGTATTGTATAATTTGGCCCCCAGCAGCACCCCCATTTATGCATGTTCAGGTGAGTGCAGCCAACCCCCCCTTGTTTCGTTATTACCCTGACTGTTACTGTCCCAGCACACACTGGAGGTATTAGGGGCAGTTGTTATTACCCTGTTACTGTTCCAGCACACACCGGGGGTAATAGGGGCAGTTTTTATTACCCTGACTGTTACTGCCCCAGCACACACTGGGGGTATTAGGGGCAGTTGTTATTACTCTGACTGTTATTGCTCAAGCACACACAGGGGGTATTAGAGGCAGTTATTATTACCCTGACTGTTACTGCCCCAGCACACACTGGGGGTATTAGGGGCAGTTGTTATTACTCTGACTGTTATTGCTCAAGCACACACAGGGGGTATTAGAGGCAGTTATTATTACCCTGACTGTTACTGCCCCAGCACACACTGGGGGTATTAGGGGCAGTTGTTATTACTCTGACTGTTATTGCTCAAGCACACACAGGGGGTATTAGAGGCAGTTATTATTACCCTGACTGTTACTGCCCCAGCACACACTGGGGGAAATAGGGGCAGTTATTACCCTGACTATTACTGTCCCAGCACACACTGGGGGAATTAAGGGCAGTTATTATTACCCTGACTGTTACTGCCCCAGCACACACTAGGAGTATTAGGGGCAGTTATTATTACCCTGACTGTTACTGCACCAGCACACACTGGGGGGATTGGGGGCAGTTATTACACTGACTGTTACTGCCCCAGCACACACTGGGGGCAGTTATTATTACCCTGACTTACTGCCCCAGAAAACAATGGGGAAATTAGGGGCAGTTATTACCCTGACTGTTACTGCCCCAGCACACACTGGGGATCTTAGGGGCAGTTATTATTACCCTGACTGTTACTGCCCCAGCCCACACTGGGGGAAATAGGGGCAGTTATTATTAACCTGGGGGAATTAGGGGCAATTATCATTAACCTGACTGTTACTGCCCCAGCACACTCTGGGGGTATTAGAGGCAGTTATTTTTACCCTGACTGTTACTGTCCCAGCACACACTGGAGAATTAAGGGCAGTTATTATTACCCTGACTGTTACTGCCCCAGCACACACTGGGGAGATTGGGGGCAGTTATTACCCTGACTGTTACTGCCGCAGCACACACTGGGGGCATTAGGGACAGTTATTATTACCCTGACTGTTACTGTCCCAGCACACACTGGGGGAATTAGCGGCAGTTATTACCCTGACTGTTACTGCCCCAGCACACACTGGGGGAAATAGAGGCAGTTATTACCCTGGGGGAATTAGGGGCAGTTATTATTACCCTGACTGTTACTGCCCCGGCACACACTGGGGATATTAGGGGCAGTTATTATTACCCTGGGGGTTTTAGGGGCAGTTATTATTACTGTAACTGTTCCAGCACACACTGGGGGTATTAGGGGCAGTTATTATTACCCTGACTGTAACTGTCCCAGCACACACTGGGGGTATTAGGGGCAGTTATTATTACCCTGACTGTTACTGCTCCAGCACACACTAGGGGTATTAGGGGAAGTTATTTTTAGCCTGACTATTACTGCCTGTGACAGACACATCCGTATAAGTTTTATTGCTGGTTCGTCTAGTTTGCCTTCCTTTCGTGGAATTGCCTGTTCGTATACCCATATTCATCTGTTTGTCTATCTACCGAATGAACTTACCGAACGGACGGCCACCCAGAAGAGGAGTGTGCTGCTGGTTAACCTCTTGATCCCAATTAGAACGTTGTGGTTAACCGCAGACACCTCTTAATTAAAACCGAATGCAGGGTGGTCATCGTTCGTATGTCAACCACGAGGCAGCTGCCATTTTAAACCATGCGAAAGACCAGCGGTGTTCGGCGCAGATTCTATGGAACTAAAAACGAACACTTTTTCTGCCGAACACAGCTGAAACTACAGACCGCCCTTCTCAGTTGACAAAAGCATGCGAACACCGGCCGTTCGGGAGTTTGGATTACACAAATGGACTTAACCCAGATAGCCATCCCGTGGAGTCAATCGCATACAGAAAGACTGTAATAGACTTTGACTCCATGGCGATTGAACTGTGCGTATGGGATCTGAGCGCTATTCGCTAAGAATATGCACTCAGATCCAGGCTATCTGGGGATACTTTGCACGAATGTAATATGTTCGGTAGTTGTGTAGTTATTCATTCATTTTCATGTTTTTTGTGTCTTACTTAAAATGGTGATTTACCTCTGTCCTGGACATAATTGAATTACTTCTCGATCTCCAGGGCAGAGGGGAGGAAATCGGGATGCATTATGGGAATATTTTGTGCCTGTATGTCTGAAAGTGCCATATGTCTGTCTGTCATTACAGTCTCCCATTTGGTCCCCTAGGGGAGTGTCCACCAAATGGGAGACCTGCATAAATACGGGCGGGTAGCCCACAGTAAAGCCCACAGTTTCAGCCGTTGTATCCCCTCATCTCACCTTACTTCACGCAGCACTATGCACTTGAGGGGATTCATATTCATTTTTGTTTTTCACTTTTTATTTCCCACTTCTTGGTAACGAGTAGCCTTATTATGTATATAGTTTAAGTAGTATCCAGTACTATAGCGTAGGCTGATGTAGACACCGGAGTCAAGCATAGCCGTAGCACAGAACACCCACGAAGGTGTTTCGAGGAGTTTACAGGGAACTAGTCTAGCGGTGTCCAGTATAGCAGCTCTGTAGAACCAGAGTATATTTAGCCTATCGGACTTTCAGACCGTCAAATTGACTATTTTCCCTCATCCTACAAGCTTTGTTTAAGGGTATGCTGAACATACTAATGACTTTGGATCGCTATAAACGTACCCCCACCTCAGATTACTGAATAAAGGGAGGAGATATAGCTTGCATCCTACTCAGCTACCGTGTATATATTAGTCTTTGGGGCATTATTTTGTCAATAAAGCTATTTGCCCTTATATTTATCAGTTTTGCCCCAAGACATTTATAGATTTATCTAGAGATACTGGATTTCCTACTGCTTACTTTCTATATACTGTTGAAGTAATCTCCAAGAGATACTGTATCTATGGTGTATCCATTATTGATATCAGCTACTTGAGAGACCTCTTTGAAAGAGTTCTCTCTATTTAGTCTTTTCTGTTATTCATATATTAAAGCCAGATCTTGTTTTACCCTCAATGCGGAGCTTGGTCTCGTTATTGGGGGGGATTTATTACGGACGAATAGAGACTGATTACTGGAACCGTAAGCCGCTTGGAGGATATATTTGTTCGGCGGTTAGCAACGATTCGTGGATTATTGTTAGGGAGTTTGGAGCACTCTTACGGATCACGTTCGGGAGATTACCGCTTTCCCCTGGTTGTGGTTCGTATGCTGAATTCTATACGAACGGAGATGGCAAGATTGTGAAGGGGAAAGCTCAACTAAACGGTGGTGTCACTCCTTGGTCTCCGGGGTATTTTAACACTGCCCCAGCACACACTTGGGGTATTAGGGGCAGTTATTATTCCCTGTTACTGCCCCAGTACACACTGGGGGTATTAGGGGCAGTTATTATTACACTCAGGGTATTAGGGGCAGTTATTACACTGACTGTAACTGCTCCAGCACACACTGGGGGTATTAGGGGCAGTTATTATTACCTGTTACTGCCCCAGCACACACTGGGGCAGTTATTATTACCTTGGAGGTCTTAGGGGCAGATATTATTACCCTGACTGTAACTGTCCCAGCACACACTGGGGGTATCAGGGGCAGTTATTATTACCCTGACTGTTACTGCCCCAGGACACACTGGGAGTATTAGAGGCAGTTATTATTACCCTGACTGTTACTGTCCCAGTACACACTGGGGGGACTAGGGGCAGTTATCATTAACCTGACTCTTACTGCCCCAGAACACACTGGGGGTATTAGGGGCAGTTATTATTACCCTGACTGTTACTGCCCCAGCACACACTGGGGGGTATTAGAGGCAGTTATTATTACCCTGACTGTTACTGCCCCAGCACACACTGGTGGTATTAGGGGCAGTTATTATTACTCTGGGGGTATTAGGGACAATTATTATTACTCTGACTGTTACTGCCCCAGCACACACTGGGGGTATCAGGGGCAGTTATTATTACCCTGACTGTTACTGCCCCAGGACACACTGGGAGTATTAGAGGCAGTTATTATTACCCTGACTGTTACTGTCCCAGTACACACTGGGGGGACTAGGGTCAGTTATCATTAACCTGACTCTTACTGCCCCAGAACACACTGGGGGTATTAGGGGCAGTTATTATTACCGTGGTGGTATTAGGGGCAGTTATTATACTCTGACTGTAACTGCCCCAGCACACACTAGAGGTATTAGGGGCAATTATTATTATTATGGGGCTATTAGGGGCAGTTATTATTACCCTGACTGTTACTGCCCCAGCACACACTGGGGGGTATTAGAGGCAGTTATTATTACCCTGACTGTTACTGCCCCAGCACACACTGGTGGTATTAGGGGCAGTTATTATTACTCTGGGGGTATTAGGGACAATTATTATTACTCTGACTGTTACTGCCCCAGCACACACTGGGGGTATTAGGGGCAGTTATTATTACACTGGGGGTTTTAGGGGCAGTTATTATTACCTGTTACTGCCCCAGCACACACTGGGGGTATTAGGGGCAGTTGTTATTACACTAGGGGTATTAGGGGCAGTTATTACCTGTTACTGCCCCAGCACACACTGGGGGTATTAGGGGCAGTTGTTATTACTTTGACTGTAACTGCCCCAGCACACACTGGGGGTATTAGGGGCAGTTATTATTACACTGGGGTATTAGGGGCAGTTATTATAACCCTGACTGTAAGTGCCCCAGCATACACTGGGGTATTAGGGGCAGTTATTATTAAACTGGGGGGATTAGGGGCAATTATTATTACACTGGTGGGATTAGGGGCAGTTATTACTGTGACTGTTATTGCCCCAGCACACACTGGGTGTATTAGGGGCAGTTGTTATTACACTGGGGCATTAGGGGCAGTTATTATAAACTTGACTGTAACTGCCCCAGCACACACTGGGGGTATTAGGGGCAGTTGTTATTTCACTGGGGTATTAGGGGCAGTTATTATTATTATTAAATTGGGGGGATTAGGGGCAGTTATTATTACACTGGGGGGATTAGGGGCAGTTATTATTACTCTGACTGTAACTGCCCCAGCACACACTGGGGGGATTAGGGACAGTTATTATTACACTGGGGGTATTGGGGGCAGTTATTATTACCTGTTACTGCCCCAGCACACACAGTGGGTATTAGGTGTTACAAAAGACTGGAAATAACTGTGTTACTGTTTTAATAACCGATTGATACTGTTTGCCACTATATATTTTTAAGCCGAAAGAAACACGAATGGATTACTCGAACCATTATAAAGACTCCATTCGTGGTACGAACGAGGGACCCCCCCAGAGGCTGGCGTGTGCCGCCACTTAACCCCGTCACCCCGCAAACTACCGAACGGTCGACCACCCGGCCAGCGGCGAGTGGCAGTCATTAACCACCCAGGCGGCTGCGGTTTGCGGTTAACCACAACTTAATTGATAGGCCTGGGGGAATCGACGTTCGCACCCAATGAACCGAAGGGAATCTACCGAACCATCAACCGAACGGCGACCCCCTACAGCGGATCGCGTGGCGATCATTAACCTGTGGTTTCTGCGGTTAACCGCAGGTCAAGTACCCTTCTACCAGGTGGTCCTCGTTCATGTACCGAACGAGTTCCACTACTAGACAGACAGCGGGGCTTCGCATGAACTGGTACCCGAGTTTAGTTCCACGAGTTATAAGCGAGGTCCCGCTGCCCGCTAAACCGTCAGAAAACATGGCCGCCAACAGAGGCTTACAATCCAAAATGCCGAACAGACTTTATACGGCAGAAACAGTCCATTCTGTTCGTGGGATTGGAGCGCCATTCGCATGTTTAATATATACGAACGCGAGCCTTTAGATGAATGGTAGAATGAGTTGTTTCCCTGTATTAATGTAAAAGTTATGGATTTTATTAATGACACGGAGGCGAGTATTATGCTATCTCCTACTTACTTTATTCCTCAGCAGCAAAGAGAAATATAAAACTGAAAGAGAAAAAATGTAGATATGCAATAAAATAATAACAGGTACAACCAGATCTGCCTAGTAACAGGGCAGCCAATCAGTCTCTAGGAACAGTCCATAAATCTCTATCCTTGTACTTCCACTTCCTCTTTCTTTGCTGCTGTCCTCAGACCAGCTAAGTATAATTTTTCTCCTACATTGTTTTGATTTATGGGTTTTTACTAAGGTTGTATTACCTGTGTTGGTTTTCTGTACTCATTTTCTGGTTGCTATTTGCATTTTATTTGCCTTATTGGCAGGTTTTATGCCTGTTTTATGTGATCTTGTGAACCTCCTTTGGTTTACTATTTCTGCCTCCCCTGCGTTTGCCCGCCGCTTCCCCTGCCTGTCTGGCCGTTCCCCCTTTCAGACAGGGTTCGCGGCTAGCAGGGGAGGTTCATTCTGCGGCCGCGCTCATCTGCCGACCCGATCCCCCGCTGGTGCGAGGGAGTGCCGGCCGCGTGTGTGGTCGCGCTCCCCGGCCATTGGCGTGGCGGCCATCTTCCCCTCGGGCTCCATGCGGCTGGGCGCGTTCTGTGCGTGGCGGCCATCTTCCCCTCGGGCTCCATGCGGCTGGGTCGGCTCCCCCTTTTACCTCTCC